GGCAGGGACACCTCCCAGCAGCCCAGGCTGCTCCAAGCCCCATCCAACCTGCCCTTCAACACCCCCAGGGATGGGGCAGCCCCAGCTTCCCTGGGCAACCTGGGCCAGGCTCTCCCCACCCTCACAGCCCAGAATTTCTCCCTCCCATCTCAGCTCCAGCTCCCTCTGCCAGCTGGAAACCCTTCCCCCTGCTCCCATCCCTCCCTGCCCTTGTCCCAAGCCCCTCCCCAGCTTTCCTGGAGCCCCTTCAGGCACTGGAAGCTGCTCTCAGCTCTCCCTGGAGCCTTCTCTTCTCCAGGCTGAACACCCCAACTCTCCCAGCCTGGCTCCAGAGCTGCTCCAGCCCTCCCAGCATCTCCGGGGCCTCCTCTGGCCTCTCTCCAACCGCTCCCTGTCCTTCCTGTGCTGGGGACCCCAGAGCTGTTCCCAGCCCTGCAGGGGGGTCTCAGCAGAGCAGAGGGGGCACAATGACAACATCAAATCTGACTGTATGGAACCAGCAACCCAACCCCAAGTTCCCTGCTGGCTTCCCAAGTTGTGTATTGGATCTGTACCACACTGTGGTCCCACCTTGGGTCATAGACTGGTTTGGGTTGGAAGGGACCTTAAAGATCCTCTTGTTCCAACCCCCCTGCATGGCAGGGACACCTCCCACCAGCCCAGGCTGCTCAAGTTTCTTCCCCAAAACCTTTGTAGCCTTTTCCCACTTTCCCTTTCTTTTTCTCTGATGTCCTTGTAGATGTGGAATGGTTTTGATGGTTATTTTAATGCTCAGCAGAACCTTTTAGTGGTCCAGATCAAATCATACCACCTCTGCTCAGCTCCATCACCTTATTTAATCTAGTGATTCTCCAGCTGAGTGATAGAAGATGATCCAGGGCTGGAGCAGCTCTGCTCTGGAGCCAGGCTGGGAGAGTTGGGGTGTTCAGCCTGGAGAAGAGAAGGCTCCAGGGAGAGCTGAGAGCAGCTTCCAGTGCCTGAAGGGGCTCCAGGAAAGCTGGGGAGGGGCTTGGGACAAGGGCAGGGAGGGATGGGAGCAGGGGGAAGGGTTTCCAGCTGGCAGAGGGAGCTGGAGCTGAGATGGGAGGGAGAAATTCTGGGCTGTGAGGGTGGGGAGAGCCTGGCCCAGGTTGCCCAGGGAAGCTGTGGCTGCCCCATCCCTGGCAGTGTTGAGGGCAGGTTGGATGGGGCTTGGAGCAGCCTGGGCTGGTGGGAAGTGTCCCTCTAGGTGTCTCCAGCTCCAGCCCTTCCATCATCTCCATGGCTCCTCTGGACTCACTCCAACAGCTCCATGACCTTCCTGTGTTGGTGTCTCTAAGGTCTCCCTGCAGCCTCTCCTTCTCCAGACACAAGCTTGACAGCAAATTGTATTTGATAGCACTAAAGCTTGGTGGAATTTCCAAACCTCCTTGTGGAATGATCAGCCTGGGAGATCTTACCTTGCAATCAGCTTGAACTGCTTGAACACCTCCTGGACTTGCCTGACGTTCAGAATCTGAGGAAAACATGGACACAGTGATGGTACAGGTCAGCATTTCTGCTCTGTGCTCAGCTCTACTGGTTGAAGTCCTCCTGACCCTGAGGGCTCTGCTTTTCACCTGCTGGGCATCCACACTCCAGGAGTGTTACCTCTATCCTGCCCCAGGAGTGAGGCTGGAGGTGGAGACCTTGCTCACCCTGAGAAGATGTTCAAGGAGTGAGGAAACACCCCATGGAGCTCACAGCCAGCAAGAGAATGCAGGGACCTCAAAGCCACCCAGTCCCACCCCTGCATGGGCAGGGACACCTCCCAGCAGCCCAGGCTGCTCCAAGCC